CTGCACTGCCTGCATTGTAATGACGGTACTCACCGTAGACCTGGGCCAAGATCTCGCGCATTTCAACCGGGCACCGAAGAACATTATAAATGATCTTGTGCGTCTCCTGCTTGACCTTGTGGTCCTAAGTGCGCACCGAAGAGATAGAAACGCGACCTCAACACAAGGCAGCATCTTTTAGCTTCAAGCAAATCAGAAAGGCTAGAAGACACGACCCCCATGTGAAACAAATAGAAACACCAAAACATACTGACACACACACACACTCACACACACACACACTAGCACACATAGACACAAACAGACAATATACATACAAACACTCATTGTCAAGCACCGAACAAATATGACACGTTAAAGTGGCTGCTAAACAAGTATCAAGCTATCACTTGCACCCACCCACCCACCCACCCGCCCACACGCCCCACACCCCAACCTCCCTTTACCCCAGAACCACACAGACCAAACAACACCTACATCGAACCTACTCTTCTATATGGACCGAGCAACATACCCAGAATCATTCACATCCCAATCAATACCATGTAATGTCCAAGGCACCCGGCCAACAGCCTTGTTGTACTCCGACACGCACATCGCAAGCACATCTCGCAATGATTTCTGGCCCAGCACTGCGCGCTTGATGCGCACAGCTTCCGCAAAAACACTTGCAAGGTCGAGGGCCGAGGCACTCTGCTTCTCAGAAGTCCTCTGGCACAGAGCCAGAGACTCGAAGAGATACATCTCCGGCCGCTCGTGATGCGTGAAATTGCCCTTCATATATTTGCAGGATGCCAGGCAGCTTGCAAAGGCATCATCATTAGCGATCTCATCTGCATCGATAGCCTGGGCTCGTTTTCATTTGAAGTTGCAGTCTGAAAGTCAGAAGCAAGCACAACTCACTAATTCATCCCGAGCCCACAAAGACATGTTTAACAGATTGATCTCACATTTAGGCATGTGTCCATGTAGTGCAACAAGCCGAAAATAGCCTGCACACACAAGCTCTTCGTGAAGCCGTCCACCAGCCTCACCGAGAAAATGGGCACGTTCTCAATGTGAGGCTGTCCTCAGGTAGACATCATAGCCATGTTGACCACGATGATGGCCAACAACACTGAATGAATGACAGCGAATGAATTTACAGCACTAACTGACTCGGACACCATGCACTTGCAGACTGTCCTGGCACCACATCAGCTTCCGCAGGAAACCGCACCTCGAGCGGCTCTCTGAAAGCCTCGAAGCCACGGTGCAGGATCGATGCAAAGTGGATGCGCAATGTGCACATATCCGGGAATTTCCCATGTTCACCTTGGCACAACACAGCAAGCACAAGGAAACAAAATCCTGAGAGTGCTGTTCCACGGCGTAGCAAGACAAGATCTCCTCATCCTCTGGATTTTGTGCTGGTTGTACTAAATCTCAAACAAGACACCATACTTGCATCTTCGTGAGTAGTCGATATGCCACGGGTTCATCCAGAAATCGTGGAGGCTGGCTTGGGGAACATAATTGAGGGCACGGTGAGGTTCGACCTTAGCAGCCACCGCCGGGATGGACAAGGTGGTCAGCATCACCTCCGATGACACTTACACACACGCACACATTTCAAATGGAACATAACAGGCACCACCTACAACTAGACACCCTCAGGACTCAACGCAAGGCCTTGGCAAAGGAAGTGTGCCCCTCGACATTGTAGGGGAACATCGACTTCAGCACATCGCCAATGTGCTTGGCATCACCACAAGCCTCAATGGTTCGGGAAGCTACGATACCGCTCAGCTGACTCTGT